ATTTTTCTCAGAAGGTGGTTGGCCTCTGGAATGGGTTGCCTTCAGATGTTGTGATGGTAGTAAATTTAAATGAGTTTAAGAGAAAGCTTGATAACTATATGAATGATAAGGGCTGGCTTTAAATTTTTTTAATAGTTTAGTTTAGACAATGGGGAGCACATATACCTGATTCAATATTATTACTCATCAGGATAACTACCAGCCTACCTTCAAATTGAAATTCTTTTAGGCAAATAATAGGAATAAAAATAAATTAAGTCTTCCTTATGCTAGACTACTAAATTATAATTAGTTTTAATTTACTGTGACAGCAATAAAAAGGGTATTTATGTAAATATTCTCGTACAAACTTAAAATTGATGAAAAACATGAAAAAATGCATCTTGAGAAACTATACTATTTTTTCACACACACACATACATTTTGGCTCTTAAACACACCCAAGAAGTTTGAAATAAAAAAAAATGCTGTAACACAATCACTATAAAGCACCATAAATCACACTATGCAAATAAAAGATGTGCTTTAAATGTGGCTTTAATGTCCCTGCATTAGTAAGAAAAAAATATATGAAGTGTACTTATTTCATCCTAAATATGTAGTTTTTATTTCCAAAAATGTTGAAAAATATGAGACTGTCATTTCATTAGATCAAATTTTAGTTTTGATGACAAGTGGAAAACAACTTATAGAATAGTAGCAGGAACATGACCATATTCAGCTTACTTTACCAAGTTGCTGAATACTTTTGGATGTATTTAATGATACAATATACAACATTCTTACAGTTACTTATGAATCACACCCTGTTCAAATACAAATACTTTTAAAATTTATTTTTTTACACACAAAAAAAATGGAATACATATAACTGAAATTATACAAAACTGCCAGCTTATTTGCATATAAAAATAGTGTGTAAAAACAAATGTAATATCTATACTCATATTAAAAAGTTTACATTTCAAAACTGTACATGTACTGAATTTCATTTTCTGTGTACAAACAAAAAAATTGTGGTTCAAGTACCATTTCATGCTACTAATTGACATATATGGCAGTACAGAAAATGTTATGAAGTCATATGGATTGACAATACCATAGGACAACAGACATGTGAATATACACAAAGATTAAACAATTTTAAAAGGACATCATTTCTGTCTATAATTTGAGCTAGATCAGGATTATGAAGAAATTTTTAATTCAGTATCCACATCCTCAATATTAATCTAACATTTCTAAACAGACCACCACAGAATCAAGTACTCCTATTTTAACAGAGATATGAAGGCATAATTTATAAACCTTAAAAACTTAAGTTGATAATTTTGGTCCAAAATTAAGGTTACGTTTATCATTTATGAATATAATAAATATCATACTTAAGACAATTTCATCTAGAAACATGTATGACAAAAATGTTTGTAATCTCAGTACACATTTTACCAGGTACACAAAGAGTTATACACAAACTCAATACACACACACACACACACACACACACACACACATAGTCGAACATCTTGAGAAACAAAATAGAGCACAAAAGCAAAATTACAAGAACAATGTTAACTTCAAATATGGGTGTACAATTGATGATGTTCATTTTACAAAACTGCATCATCAAAATAACCACAAAACAACATATTTATATCATCTTCAATGTAACAAGGTTCATACAGGAAAAAATTCCAGGAACAAACTGTCATTTTCAAGGACTCAATTTACTGATTTTATATTACATTACAAAGAAAGCCCTAAAGAAATTTTCATCACTTACACTCCATTAAGTATACTTCAACTTTTCCAACTTTAATAACAAATGATAAAGTCTTGCATCTCTCAAGTACCATGCCTTAGCCAGAGCTAAAAACTCCTCTAGCATGCAACCAAAACCAAATAATATTTATTGAACATATTTCGATTTGCCAATAGGACAAAAAGTCAATTTGTACCTGATCAGCTGTTGATTTTACATCAAATGTGACCATGCCAACAAAACAAAGATTCACGTTCATATGGTTACTGAGCTCACTTACATAATGTTCTGTACATTAACAATGCTGCATATCTCGTGATTTTCACACACACAATTGCATTTCATTTTTATACTACCAAGTCCACCTGATGAAGAACTTTTCAAAAGAACTGGAAACCTTATGGATGAATAAAACCTTTAATATTACTATGTCATGTTCAGTTTCTACACTTTCTTCTACTACAGCCATACCCACCTTTGTATGATATATTCCAAACAACGATTTCATTTGTTGTCAAGACTGGTATCAGATGTATTAGTCATCCCAGGTATGATGATTACAAGTAAAGTCATGAAGCCATTCTTTTGATAATTTTAATTTTAGATCTGAAAAAAAAAACTAATAAGAACACAAAGAAATAAAATAACATTACAATACTATAATACAAGAAAATTGTTCCCAAAACATTTAGTACTTGAGCCCAAAATGCCACTCAACTTATCCCAGCCAAGATCAATCTCTGTATAAATAATGAGTGACTTCATCACGTTGTCTTTAATGACAAATATTCAAGTATTTCATGAATGACTTGCACTTCTCTCTTTTTTTTTTATTAATGAGTTATAGGCAATAAGTGATAAAGAATTTAAGACAGAAACATTAAATATTTTTGAAGAATTCATAATGAACTTGGAATTAGGAAAATTCTAAAATGTTCATGTTTTTTACCCTATCAACAATTTTATATTTATGGTAAATGAGCCTTGTGCTTGTTCTAAGACAATAATATATTCCAATAACAGTCATGTGACATATCTTTATTTGTAGAATGGAGGTACACAGTTCATAGCCTGTTGCTGCTCAATATTGTGAATTTAGCATATTTCACATTTTATGAGTCACATTTTTGAGACCTTTTTGGTAAAATTGAGATAAAAACAATAGTGGCTTGCTATCAATAGAAGCTGGGGATGTGAGAAAAATGGAGTTAGACTTTCATGGACTTTTCCAGAACGTCATGATAAAACCATTGATTTTTTTTAGGATTTCCAGTAGAAATTTTTATTTTAAAAATTCCAAGACTTTCCGGGATTTTCATGACCTGTGTGAACCCTAATGGAATAATACTCTGAATTATTCACACTCTTTTTAAATCTCCATAAGTGATATTATAAATGAAGTTTTTAGACCAAATTTTGTATGGAAAAAAAAAAGGAATACAAAGTTATGTGCCAAAGTGTAGTAACTAATAATGAAATGAAAATCTTTTTCAGTTCTACCTAGTACTACAAGAACCTGAACACAGCTATTCCTTTTTTATTGTCTTAGTGTAGAACCTTTCGTTTTTCCAAAGATTTTAAACAGAAATACTCTCTTGACATTCACATTTAATTTTAACAGCTCTGTGGTATTGAGTAGCAATGTATTTTAAAGTGTATGGCTCTAGGAAAGATACAAACTAGTATATTACAAGTATTTAAGAACTGTACATCTCCAATACTTATAGCCAAGGTAAAAGAAAGTTATTCAATTTCTAATTAAAAACATCACTGCTTTGACAGAATACAATATTAATACTTTTACACAGAATAATCAAAAATTGTTAATTATCTATTCAAAAAATAATCTTAATAATGTTACTAAATACTTGTGATTCTTTGCATGAAATTCATTGCAGAGTTTGGTTTAAACAAGATTGAAATGTGTATGTGTTATAACAGAATCACTTAACAATGTTTATTCAAATTGGATGACCTATACTTGCCTCAAATTTTCTTGGACTTATCAATAAGCTTTGAACATAAAATTCTATCTAAATAAGCTGTTTCACAAAAATTAGCATCATTTGTTAAGTAACACAGGTATTGTTAATACAGATGTTTTAATACTTATGCTCATTAAATGATCCATAATAGATCATGACCTGATACAATGAGAAGTGTGAAACATTTGGAAGAAATGGCTGCTCATGATCCAGTAAAATGGTTGGCTAAAGCAATAAAAAAAAAAGCTACACAAGTTTTTTTAGAAGCTGTTAAGAAACAAGTGTTAGAATGATGAGGAATAAACTGTACTGGAAATAGAAAGAAGGTGGATCAAAATTTTTCTACAGCTTAGTTTTTGAAAAACAATCATATGCTTTTAATTAGTTTGCTACCAAATGTCTATCAGGAACAATTACAATATGCTGCTAAAATTAATTAATTAATTACAATCTGTGAACATTATCATCATTTTTTTTATTTATAATTACATAGAATAAGTCAAAAGCTAGTTATCATAAACTTTAAAGATACAAAAGACAGTAAATGAATTATGCTCTTTAACAAAAAATCCTTATCTGTGAATTTATCTCTTTTTATCCAAAGCTACTCAAAGGCTATCTGAACTAGCTGTCCCTAATTTAGAAGTGATAGACTAGAGAGAAGGCAGTTAGTCAACACTACCAACTGCCAACTCTTGGACTACTCTTTTACCAATGAATAGTGGGATTGACCATCACATTATAATGCCCCATGGCTTAAAGGGTGAGCATGTTTGGTGGGACGGGGATTCGAGCACCCTAACCACCTGGCCATGCCAGGCCAATGGTGTATAATGTGTAATTGCATATGCTGTTTGCACACCCATGGCTCTGGAATGTAAATACTGTACAATGAAAAAAGAACCAACAAATACTAAGTTTTACCACCACATTCTAACACCCCCATGGCTGAAAGGGCAAGCATGTTTGGTTTCAGGATTCAAACTCGTGACCCAAAGATTACAAGTTGAATGCTCTAATCACATGCATGCCTTGTAAACTTGTTGTTTATAGCCAACAAACATGCTGCTTTCTATTTCAAATTTATGTCTAGGGAAACATTTCTGAATTTCACTACTGTACATAAATAAAATGTAAGTACTGATTCTCAACATTTTTACATGTTAAAAAATACTTTACTATATTAGATACTAAGACTTATGAAATGACCACCGAAACAAATTTCCCAAAGATTAAAATGAATTCTTTACACTATTCAAAAGTCACATAACGACTGACTTTTAAACCTTTAATAGATCAAAATTAAAAAGGTATTCAACTCTTCTGTCATATTGGTATCTACTGCATTTAGGTTACACATATAGTGCTAACACACTATTAAACTTTCCCAAATGTTTCTTTAACTTATGAATTGATCTATTATGTTCTAGCCCACTGATACCTTGTGCAAGTGGTGTCCTCTGAAGTTTTGAAATTTTAGTTATTAAACTACATTCACCATTGACATAATGAAACAACAGGGTACAGCAGAAATAGTGATTGATACATATATTATTATACTCTTCTCTGCTTTTACTAAAAATTCTGCTATTATTTACTGAAATTCAAAGTAGTAAAAGTTTAAACACTTGCATATTAAGTATAAATAAAGTATCTTTCAATTATTTTTCACAAGCATTATACTATACAATTTCCATAATATAATATACTACTTCTGCTCAACCACTCACTGAAAGTAATCATATTTCACTCAACTATTCACAAACGTCATCAAGTATTATTTCCTTGAATATGGTACTACTATTCAACCACTCACTCAATATATCTTTTTCAGTCAGTTATTCACAAGCATCATCCCATATGATTTCCTTGAATATGGTATAAGTACCCAAATGTTCAATTAACTTACCTACAAGATTATGCATTTAGATTTCTTCTGAGGCTTTGTTTTTTTCTCAGGGTTTTTTCTGTTGATCTGCCTCACAAGGTCATAAAATATCTATAGTAGTGCAAATGTAACTAATTTTTTAATATCTTTACTGAAATTAAAACAATTCAAAAGTTGCTACAACTTATGAAAATGTAGCAACAATAATGTGATTCGTTACTTGTGAAAAGTCAATTGTTATAAAACAAGCATTCTTTGTAACACACGCAGAATTACTTTTATGCTACAATGACTTCTTTATATGTTGCTTAACCCTTTCCAGGCTGGTGAGCGCCATGTAAGTGTTGAGTGCACACCTACACATGAAATTTCAAAATGTAAGTAAAAATAAAAAATATTTCTTTTATTGATAATGGCATTTTATAACATTTATTAAGTGTTATTTGCAATTAAAATGCTCAAACTTAAATTTTTACACAGTTCCAAAAAGGCTTGCCTATAAACAAGGCACTTAATTTTTTAAAACATATTTCTGCCTATTGCAAACCACAGATTTATATTTGCAAAGAATCTACCATTCCTTGAGGATTGTGTTCTGAAGATTGTTTCAAATGGGATTTTCCTCTTCCTTCTCTGATTTTATTAGAACAGCCTATCATTCACTCCTTTTTATAATCTCACAGCATGTGATCATAACAACTACTAATGTACCTCTGCTTTTAAAATAGCTACAGGCAAAATTTAAGTATCACTTGATAGAGCAGCTTATACAATATTACATCTATTATTATATCAAAGAAAGCAGTTTGAGAAGTAACTTATGGTTCTGTTAGAAAATGACAAGACATAGCTTGAAAAATAATGGAATGTAGTGGAAAATTCGAATGACTTTGTTCCTAAATTTTTTTTTAAACTGCATTTGTTTAAAAGCGATGGAAATTTTTATTTTACACCAAGACATTAGTTAGCTTTATTAGGTTTAGAGAGTATAGTAGGTGAAGGTATAATATTCCAGTGAGTCCAATACTTCGCTATAAAATATTATTAAGTTTATCGTATTCAAACAATACACACAAATAAAAAAACGTATAATTTATTCAAAAATATAACTATTAGATATAAATCAATTACAACCAAAAATATTGTTACCTAGCCTGACTTGATGCCATTTTAACATGTTAGGTCCTATGTCACAAATAAATTTGTCAGTTTTTGTAATGTTCTTTTAAGATATATATAGCTGAAAATGTTGACTACTACAATCAGCAAATTAAAGTATCAAAAGAAATACATTCATGAATATCAATCAAGTTGAAACAGATTGGATAAATAAAATAGAACTTTCTGATCAACATCAAAAAAATTCAAATTCTAAAACAAATTGAAGTTATAATTTTTCCTAAATGAAAATATATTTCCGATAGGTACTTCCCTCCTCTCACAAGATTAGCTTTTCTCGTTTTGTGCTGCCCTCTATATGCAAAATTTTTCAGAAACACATACCACAAACCTTCATCCTCCCTCTATTGGAATCCAAAGTTCCAACATGTCTCTCATGCAAATCATCATGTGTCACCTCTCCACCAATAGGAGAGCACTACTATCACGTGACACATGTTACTCCCTCTATATGCCACTATCGAACTATCACTTCAAAGTTTGGCAGAAGATGCGAGCACCAGAAGATTGTGGTGAAGACAGGTGGGAAGTGAGAGAGGAGGGAAGTACCTATCGGAAATACATTTTCATTTAGGAAAATCATAATTTCCAATAAGATACTTTCCCTCCGCTCACAAGATTAGCTTGAATCGCACATTGAAATGGAGGAGGGACAGGTGTGAGAGAAGCACAGGCATATCCCCCGAATGCTTTCGGAGGGCACCCCCAAAATTGGAAGAATAGATCAGATGGTCTGAGGAAAGGTACCACATCTGAGCCAGGTATCTCTTGGCCAGGAACATCGACATTATCAGGAGGACCATACATGGTGGAACATGAAGGGAGCATATCTGCATGGGAGAGGATAGTTTAGCAATGTGATCTTAAACAGAAATCAGAATCACTCAATCCCACAATGGATAGTGAGCAAGTGAGGATGTGTCCAATGGTGTACAGTGGTTAGGGCACGACAGACCGTACTCGGCAAGTCAACTACATTCAAAACTTCACTCGCTAGGTACTGACATCCTCACAAGGGTAGGATGAGGATCATACCATCTTCACCTCAAGTCCCAGAGTCAAGAGGGAACCTGACATTCTACTCCAGGAACTCACAGGGTAGCCTAAAGCCAGGGATCCAGGAATATGTCATCTAGAATCTGAGGGAAGTCCATTGCATGCACTCAACACCTGCAACCTTGAAACAAGCCTGAAACAACTCCAGGTCAGTAACAACCTCATCATCAAACGAGTGGGAAAACCCAGGAAAGAAGAGGAAACAGGCCACGTAGACGTTCTGCGACCCACAACACAGAAGACAAGTCAAGAGGGGAAGATGGACAACTGAAAACCTGTGTGAGGACTTGTGTGATTGTTTCGCTTGATTTCCAAAATGTCACTCATTGGGTACTGACATCCATGCAAGAGTAGGAGGAGGGCACCCAATCAGAGGGGTGAACTGCATTTGGGCATCTCAATTCTGGGAAATACTTACTCATCTGGAGGATCTTGTAACTCCCTCTACACTGGCAGAATACCATCACCCTACTCTGAACTGAATGGTTATAGCCATCTTTGTGGAATCCATCCAGCAGATTGCCTCCATGGTCAACCACCCCAGTGGCTTGGAACTGGGAAGGACTCCCATACTACACTGGAAGAAGGGGGGAGTGCAGTGGAGTGTCCAGAGGGACTCCTAATCCAAAACAGTGTAACGGGTGATCACAAAACCCTATTTTGAAGACCACACTGATATATTCAATCTAGGCATGGCAGAGATGGGCAGCAATCTCCTTCTACTTTACCCATGCCATCCACGAGTGGTACGGTCCAGGACAGGCATATTATGACACAATTATCACTAGGAATTTACACTCCAGTGATCTTGTGAAACACCCCATCTCAAGGGTGAGTGTACATAGCCATGAAAAATGTATAAGAAGCAACATGGCTTACAGCGTAGGTTTGATAGCAATATGTCTGCGAATGGTTATAGCCATCTAAGTGGAACTCATTCCAAGTACAGATAGAATACCTGGTCAAGCACCACTTGCCACAGAGCGAAATCGAAAGTGAAGCTGAATCAGGGGCCTCTGAAAGAAAAGAGAGCATTAGTGAGGACTTAACTCATGTCGCAGTCACTCTGAAGTCTGTAGAATAGCCACAGGCAGCAGGCGATTCCCCGAAGAATAAGAAAGAGCAATGTGGTGTAGTTAGTGGGAGATGAACGTATGTGTAGTCATCCACATGCCTGATCTCTTCTCTTTCAATGTCTAACAAAGATGAGAGGCAAGGGAGAAGGTAAGGTGATGGATTTGATGTGAGGGAACATTAAAGACAAGGAAGGAGACAAGGAAAATAGGCCAACTGGATCAAACTTTGTACCCAATTGGTCAGGGTAACCAAGGAAAGATCACAGGAAGAGGTAGGTTGCCAAGGGATAAAAAGGCTGGAACAAGGATCCCAAAAGGAAGCTGTGCAAGCAATATAACAACAGAGGGCATGAACAGGACAGAGTCTATCCAGATTAGGATGAGGGAAGAGATGAGATATAGGCAGATAGGGTAAAAGTAGTTCTGACCTTCTTGAGCCGCAGAGGTTTTGGGAATGAAAGCATGATCCAGATAAAGGATAAGGTAGGAGGAGTGGTACAAGGTCCTGGTGACATCGAGGGTGAAAATATCCGACCTACTATATGGCAGGCCAGGAGGAGGAGGAAATATGCTTCCAAGGAGAGGTGAAACAGGGAACACATAGACAGAGGTTTGGATGGAAGTAACGTGAGGGCACGAAGGACCACGTTAATGTCCCAGTTTGGGAGTGATGGATGCCTCAGTGGCCAATGCAGCTGGAAGAAATGGATCAACATGGAAAGGACAGGGAAAGCAAAAGACCCTGCAGAAGTGGGAAAAATGGAATGTATTGGATAATGCTGCCTAAAAATCCTGAAATCGAGGAGACCAAAGAACCCCTCTCAAAGAGCCACGTGAGAAACTCAGAGATACAGACAACCATTATGTGAGAAGCCTGGAAACCAGAGTCAATGCCCAGGAGTGATAAACACCCCATTTGCATTGATAGATGGCCAAAGAAGAAGGGCAAATGGAACAGGCCAAATGTGAATATACTCTGCGAGAGAAACCAAAACTCCTCGCCAAGGGCCTGACTAAAGCCAGGCGTAAAAACGAAGGACGGGCAGTGTGGGATGGAGCACCAGTGACTGGGGTTGACTGAGCAGGTTGTAATGGAAGAGAAGGGACCACCTGCAGTTGGAGCAATCAAGGAAACCAAGGTTGAGCAGGCCAGTAAGGAGCAATTAGGAGGACCTGCATGGAGTGGCATGGATGAGGGAGACCACACAATGAAGTAAATAGATGGGAGGGTAAACATAAAGAAGAGATGAGACCAATCCTGCCTGAAGGCATCAGCAGCCAAGGCTTGTGGATTGAAAACCAAGGACCAAAACTGAGGTAATTTGTGATTGAGAGTGGTGGCAAAGGCATTGATATGGAGCATATCCAGATGCAGACAGAGCCACTGAAAAATGGCAGGATGTAGAAACCACCCTGTGGAATATAAGTGATTCAGTCCGGAAAGACGATCAGCTACGAGATTGAAAGCACCCAGTACATGACACGTCATCAAACTTCACTTTCAAGTGGAGACGTGATGTATGATCATTTGCATACGAGATGTGTTGGAACTTTGGATTAAAACAGAGGGAGGATGAAGGCTTGTGGCATGCGTTTCTGAAAACGTTCACATATAGAGGGCAGCATAAAACGAGAAAAGCTAATCTTCTGAGAAGAGGGAGAGTTGTTCCTTATTGGAAGTTTTTTTTTTTAGAAGTGTTTTACCAGACAAAAAACTTCATAACTGAATCAAAATATATGAATTTTTCTAAACCAGAAACTAGATAATATATCATAAGTTTATCACAAGTTTCATGCAATTTGATAAAGTATTTCCAGTGTGAGAAATAAAAAGAAATCAAGAGATATCGGTGACACCTTTTCAGTCTGGAAAGGGTTAATAAAATCAGGTAACAGGCCCAGTTCTTTGTATTTTCCTAACTCATTCTTCCCAGTTTTCATAGAAATAAATTAAATACATAATAAATTCATTCAAGAGACAATTATGAATTTAATGCATGTCAATGTAATACTTGTCATAATACAGCAACTGAGAACCAACAGGAATAAAAACAAAGCTCAACTTTTAAAAGGTGACAGAACATGTATTTAACCAAGGACACCTTTCTTTAATTTTTTCATTTGATTTGATTTTAATCCAGAGATTTTCATCCACTATTCTGGCTTACACTTTCTGCTATGTTTGTTCCAGTTACTTTAAAAAAATTATCCTGAAGAAGTCACGTGCTGAAATATGTGTAAATACATAATTTCATAAGTAGCTTTATTCTTTTAAGTATTCATTAGCATACGGTAAATTCCATACTTTTGAACATTTATTTGAAACATTTTGTCTGATTTGAACCCAATGTTTATTAACTGTTCTACATGCAGATAATAAACAAATTTAAAGTAACCTGAAAGAGAAGGTATATTCCTTGTTACTAATAAAAACATTTAACATTATAATGCCCAACATACATAAACCTAATTCAAAAATACTTCCACTTACAAAGCTTTCAACAAAATGAACTAATCTTTAAAACATTTTCTTTGCAAGTATTTAAAAAAAAAGGTGATGTTGAACTGTACATATAAGTTATACTTATAAAAGATTACAGTGCATACCATGAACAAAGTATTATAGTACCTCATGAACATTGACTTTAGCTTTAGCAGAAGACTCCAAGAAGGCACAGTTATTAAAGGATCTTGCCAAATTTCCTCCCTGGTCTTTCCCAACAACCCGCTCATCCTCCAGATCACACTTGTTTCCCACCAAGATCATGGGAACCTGAAACCCAGTCACTAAGTTAAACCAATGTTAATGCTGTATTAACCACCAATAATATATATCCTAAAAGTCAAATAACTATCTTTTTTTTTAAAATATTCAATCTTTGTACAAGTACAAAAACTTAACAAAAAGAAATTATAAATTAAAATTATACATAACTGAGATTCAAAGAAGTGCCAGTTTGTTTTTCCACATACATGTCGAGCATGAATTTTCAAACATATAACAAAATACACTAACATATTCTTTGTACAAAAGAATTCACATCTGAACAGCACGGTCAAAGTATTAATTTTCTGGTAATTTATTATTCTTCAAAATCACAGTGTCTGTTACTAAAATATGTTTCAGGGTAACAATTATTGCAGAATTTCTTTTGTACCACACAATCACTAACTTAATATAACAAGCTATCTAAAACAAATGAAGATCAACAACTTGATGCAATACTTGATGTAACACCCATAGTATTATTGTTTGTAATCTTACACAGTGATTAATTTGCCTATCAGTGATATATATTTAAAAACTGAAAAATGACAGGGGACTTTGGTATACCAGTCACAAGAGTGATCTACAGAAAATAAAAACCCAAAAAACTTAAAACAGAAGTCGCCAATCTCCCCAACTGAAACAAAACCTCGGCACTTTATGCCCATGTTATGTGCCCCTCTCCACATGGCAATTAAATGAAACATTTTTCCATACCTTTAGATAATTTGTCCTTTATACACTCCTTGAATAACACTAATCAATTCACCAAATTTACTTTTGAAATAGTCAACTGAAAAACTTTTCCTACTAACACTTTTGAATGGTCTAATGTACAATTTTTACTACTTTTTCTGGAAAAAAAGTTTTGATATTGCAAAAACAAACTCAATGTTTTGAAAGTCTGTTTTTTTCTGTATCACTGGTGCTATTGTTTTGCATTACTTTCCTCCACCACCTATACCACCTATTTACTTTCTTTTGCCTTGTGTATTATCATCAAAACATTTCTCTCATCTTTTTTTCCAAAGGACTAGTCTTCTTTCTGTGCCACTGGTTCTCTTGCATTTTGTTTCTCCAACAACTACCTGCATTGCCAGTGATGGTTAATAACGTCTTATTTTCTTCAACAACTTTCTGCATTACCAATTATGGTTAATAAAATCCTATTTTCTCCAATATCTTGCTGCATTGCCAATTATGGTTAATAAAGTCCTCTTTTCTCTAACAACTTCCTGCATTGCCAATTATAGTTAATAAAGGACCTATACATAAAAGAAAAGATTTTTCCTCATTTTGTTTTTTAGGACACTAAATCCTAGTATCCTGGATTTAGCAAGATGGCTAATTTTAGTATTTACAGGAGCAATTGCAAAAATAGCTTATAATGTTACTAGCTTGGGGAATTCCATGTGTAGGTTTTCTTCAATGATATCACACCATGCATCATGGCAGAAATCAGCTTCACAGAAAAGATTTCAAACTCAAAAATACTACTTGAATACAATCAACCAACCCCTCCAAAAATTTAGATATAACAGCATTTTTAACCCTTTCTCAACAGTCAGGTCAAAGTGTGCATGTCCCGATATTTTAGTTACTTAAAACATTTAATAAAACAACTTTATTATCACTGTATGTCAATAAAATTAACAACACAATGAAGTATATAATTCAAATTTTAATATATATTTTACTTTCTTAATTCAAAAGAAAATATTTAAAATAAATGCCAAATATGTTTTCTTGTGTCACACAGCATGTCTTCTTGTGTTATTGCTCAGTTTATAATTTGTTACGCTTACCATGCAACATGTATAGTGGTTAACAAATGAGAAACTCAAACTTCAGTATTTAAAAGCTAGAGTGTAAAATAAGAACCCCCCACCTTTTTCATTTGCTGAGATATCAACATATTTTGTACACCTATGAGGGTAGCCCTGCCCACTACTTCAATTTTTGAAACCTCTTGTCTACTCACACCTACTTCTTTTAAGTACATGTTTATAACCAACAGAAAGAGCACATTCCAAACTATGTAATTCTGACAATCATTTGTAATTGGCATAAAGTGGAAATTTGTAATTGACAGATGTTGAAGTCTATTGAGTAAGTCACTGTTCTGAGCAGAAATGAAATTTTTAACCCACATATAACTTGTCTAGAAAGCTAGATAAATTAGTGTTTTTATGTGTTCAAGTATAGTAATTTCATAATTTTTTGGTTTCCTAAAATGCATCTTTGAAATCTACAAAAATTTTGTCTTCCCACTCCACTTGAAAGAATAAACAAGGGTTATTGCGAGGCTTAGCAAGTACAATGAACGAGTACAATTCCATTTTGTAGCATTGTAAGTAGATAGCTGCCTTGCATAAATACAACACATAATGATGCTCTGTGGGAAGTATTCATAAATATCTAAAATGATGGGAAAGTCTGCAATAAACACTGGAAGTTATCATTGGGTAAGCTCTACTTTCCTTACTCTACATGTTTTATTAAATACAAAGTTTACCATTATGCAGTTGTCTCACATGTTGTAAAAAAAGTAGTGAATCAACTAAACTTACAAAACACTGTAGTATACTTTGACTAAGATTTTAATTTTTACTTGTTACAACTGTTTTCTTTCTTCGACTACAATTATACTAAAGATGTCAAACATACATCATCTGTATCCTTCACACGAAGGATCTGTTCTCGCAGGTCCTGTAAGTCATTAAAGGTGGATTGTGCTGTAATGGAGTACACCAAGACAAATCCTTGTCCATTCTTCATGTACAGATCTCTCATGGCAGTGAATTGTTCCTGTAATAATCAACAATGTCATAGAAATAGTACACCAATGGAAAAAATGTCTTTCACACACATCATATAAGTTGTATTTAAATGTAAGCTATGTACTTTCCACACATACTAAATGAAGCAATATTTAACCATTACATCTGTTATGAAAGTGCTACTTTAAGGTTTTCTTTACCCCTTCCCTTTATAACTCTGTGACATATGGAGTTTAAAAGTTATATTTTTATCAATAAACTATTATCTAATACTGATGCTACATTTTTTAAAAAAATTCAGAGTATTTTAGGCATATCACTAACTTATGGTAAAAAATAAACTAATTCTGGAGGTCAGAACTAAAATGTTATTTGTAAGTTAATAAAGCTAATTTATATATAACAAACTGACCACAAATACATAACCTAAATAAATTAAAACACAAGAAAAAAAAACTACAATGGTTAGAAATGCACTGATGTATCAGCAAAGTACTATTGTTGGTATTATTTTAATGCTGATACCTTCAGTGTGAATACATGTATAGGGTACTAGTGCATTAAGACTTGAGTGTACATGGATAAATGGTGATAGCAACCCAGAGGTCAATAACAAGTAGTTCCAAGCTTCAGTTTTCTAGCTGCTTAGTTAGCTGCATTTACAGTTTTATGTTTTATTCCTATTCTACCATAATTATAAACATTCAGAGATTCATTACGTGGTATTCAAGCGGTGTTTTTTCTCTTGTTAACAGAAGCTGTTTGACAGTGTTTGAATAGTAATCATAATTAAATGTCACTCTTGGAAAATTCAAATCTTTTTATTTGTATAATGCCCATTCCTTAAGAAAATGATGTTGTATTATAAAATACACCACCACCACCAGATTGTTATACATAACAGCACCTTCTTGGTATTGGAGCAGGCCTTTTTGGTGGAGCATGTGTGGAATACATTTAGTGGCTTCATTGCTTCAATAAAATGTACCGAATGTCTTGTATATAAGATGTAAGAGAAGTGCTGTAGGGAAACCAGAGAAATTAGACACAGAAATGCAGAGAATTTGCAGTACAAACCACAAAATTTCAATTCAGTAGGAGACTTGCATTGTAAAACACAGAACTTTGGGTGAATGGCAAATTTGTTAGCTACAGATGATATAGCCAAAATAATTGACATTATAAACACATGAAGGTGAAGCAGTAAATACTTCTTAGTTTAAATATCAGATAAAGGCAGATTTTCCAGCAAAGTTTTTACTAACATTCCAAAGTTACATACAACAAGACGGACTCCTATGTTCACAAAAGTGATATTTGTAAAGTTATATACGAATAGTCTGTTGGACTTTTATTGTAAAATATACATCTAACAAATTAGCTGCAGATCAGCTTCACAGGGAAAATGTATTGCATAATACTTCTTATTCTATATTGTAATGCTAGTCTCGTACATTTTGTTTTACATATTCTTTATAAGTTACCTAGCAATACATTTTTGTGTTTGTTTGTTGTTTAACAATTCTTCAGCAAGTTATTTGATAATTTTGCTAATTTTTACTTAGCAAGTAGAAGTTGATGGACAACAATGTATGCTAGAGATCCTGGATACAGCTGGAACGGTATGTTTATTTTTTTATAATCCTGAACCATACACGAGCCCGGTTTGTGTTTGTCATACTCTGAATTTCTACTTAAGTATTTCCACGTGGTGAGCCATTTGGCTTGAAGCTTGTGTTTAATGATAACATTATGGCTATTACATTATTATAGGGCTTTTTTTGAAGGTTTATTCATTAGCTAGGAACTCAAGGATAGCTACATATCTTTTATAGTAATGCAGTTTAAAAAATTGAGGACAGTCTTCCAACTAGTTTTTCAATATAGCACAAAAAGATTAACTAAAGAAGGTGCCTGTCTGGAGCCCATAGCAACACCATCAGTCTGATTATAAAGATTGTCTTCAAGAAAAAAATCAGATTCCTTTTGGGTTAAGCTCATCATTTTCAAAAAGTTGTTGTTGTTAAAAATCAAATCAACACTCAATTGTGTGGTTTCTTCTAATGATATGTTTTTACACAATGACTTAACATCAAAGCTGGTGCAATAAATTAAATAAATTAGCCCAAAAAATTTTGATAATGTGACTTATAAAACATAGAAATTGGAACAAGTAGAGAATTTGTGGTATAAACAGTTCAAGTAATTTCCAACAGGAAAAAATACTTTTACTATCTTTACTTTAATAACAAAAATACCAATATAAAATTCATTGTTGAATATCAATACGATTGTAAACTCTCATTTCTGGACACATTGATTTATAACACGAATGGCCACTTTTGATGTGAAGTATACCATTAAAAAACAGAAAACATTTATCTTGCTTGTATTATAACTTAACAAGTTGTGTACCAAATGTTTTTAAAGAAAATGTGGTCAAGACCTTATTTTATTATATATATAAAACATAAATACTTATAAAATTTTGCATAAAATATTAAATAACACCAAAGAATCAACATGCAAGAATGGTTTTCCTGTAAATGTTAATTTATTTTTAGGACAAGACCACATTGAGCTATATGCTGTGTTCACTGCAGGGAATCAGACACAGGATTTTAGCATTGTAAGTCTGTAGACTTCCCACTATCCCACAGGGGGACTAAATATTATTGACAGAATACTTCATAGTTATTTGAATAAGCAGAACTTTAGTAAACCATCCATATACAAAGTTTCTAAATATCTTACTGTTGTTACCTTGCCTTACCTTCTTTATTTATTAAAAACCAGTTAAGAAATTCATGTCATAGAGTATATCCTCAAATACAGTTGAAATGTATTGTGAAATGTAATAGTTACCTAGTATTTTTTTGTTCTTTTTGTTTAGATTTAAGGACCGTATTCCTGCATTAAAGTCATCAAATATACTCTACAAATTTACTTATCTTTTTTCACCAAGACTATGTCAGGTCTACTAAAAGAAAATTATTAATTTGTGTGAAAGAACATGTAAATTTGAGATCAAGTGTACTTCAACATGCCCTAGATGAATGCAACTTCATCATCCATCCAAATTACTTTAACATCCTAGCAAGGGCCAATGATAAGCAGAGCCTCCAAATAAAAGAGAGCTTGTTCATTCACCAACTGAGGCCTGATATTAATCAATTGAGTTCCACATACAAATTACTTTTAGTCCTATATGTGTTTATCATTTTTAAATGAAAATTTCACATGGCTCTGTTTTTCATATTTCCAGCTAAGGATCACTAAACACAATGTATAAGCATGAAGATATTTTCATTCAAACAACTGGCAGATTTCTTTCCTTTTATAAACTGATTTTACCAAAGGTTTTCATTTGTGTTCTATAAACACTAACTTCTTTTAATTGTAAAAAGAATATTTAATACTTAAAAGTTTCCTTAATTTCCTTTCTTATTTTCATACATACACCTAAAGTTTATTATTATCATCTATTATTGTAATTTTGAAAAAAATGTTCTTATTAACCAGTACTTTTATTTCTTTCACATTCTAAGCATTGTCATATTTGATAAGATATCTTTAATAGTCCATATACTCAGTTGACCAAACTCAACACAATTAAAAAGGTAAGAGTAAATATTTTCATTTACAAGTTAAGACTATAAATTATTCAAAATCTAGGGTTGCACTACAAGGTGATATTTTTTTACTTATATACTTACAAAATATAACAATATGTGCAGTTTTACTTTTTTTTAATTAGTAGATAAGGTTGGTTCAAAATGTTACCCTAGAAAAATAAATAACTTTTGAGGTTCAAAACAGAGAAGCACTAAGAATAAGCTAATAACAGACTGTTTTTGCATTTCTAAATGAAAAATAAACCTAAGAAAACCAAAAACTGTTATAAACTTAACTATGCTGACAACTATTCTACAATGATTACTTTGAATGGACAAAAACAAGTAGTTTCTGTTATTTTAATAATGTAGACAAACATAATAAAAATCATTTTGCTCACCAATTCACCAGAAGCTTGGATAACAAACACAGATAACTAGCATTTAAAATAATATTTTTCTGCATTAGAATACTAACTTTGAAATTACATAAAAGGTCTTCATTAAAAAAAAACTCTGTTGTACATATCACAGTTCAGCATAGTTTTACTTACTTTTCGGTAGCTGTCCTCGATAGTTGGGTCATATTTTTCCACAAATATACCTTGTACAAATTGTACTGTCTACAAAATAATAATATTTAACTTACACACATGTAAAAATAAAGAAATATCAAGTTAAATCTAGGAAGATGAGATTACCAATTTTTCATTTCCATTAATAAAATTCATTTACCGTCTTATCCAAATACAGAGTTAGAGTACGTTATATTAAATCAATTTTGAAGACTTACTACATTGTTACAGTTCCTGTCACCACATCTAGTCATGCTATATATATCTGATGACCATGCACCTTGAAAAGAGCATTGCAGCATAGTTTACATTGTGAAAGGCTATGTTGTAAAACTGATATATCCAAAGCACACCACTCATACCTGCTTGCATTCCATAATCCATCTAATGCAAGTCTCGATAACATGGCAATTAAAAAATTCATTCTGGTATCTAGTATTTTCTCCCATTTTATACATGCATAGAGCTGTGCTAAATAGAACTTGAATCCAGAACAGTTGTGGACTCTTGGTCTGAAACTATTTTCGTGTTCCTTGAGTTATAAATTGAACTTTATTTCTAGGATTTTAATGGCACATTCAGCACTTCATGTTTTTTCAGGAATGAAGTGTTGCAGTTTCACAACACATTACTAATTTTGCACTATTTTATTTTTTGTCTTTCTCTCAATTCAACCAATTAAAGTGCGTGTTTAGACTCAGACGGAACCAAAGACAGTTAGTTCAGGCAATATTATCAAGTGGTTGTTAATACTGTTACGACAGCAGAAGTCACGCGATGCTGGGAGCATGCACGTTGGAGTTTCTCGAAGGATCATGAATTATCGAGGAACCCTGCGAATGTCCGAGTGTTTGCCTCTTTTTTAGTATATGAGCCCGGCAAATAAAGCCAGCGATAGAGAGATATGCAGATAGATTGAAGAGATAGATAACTGAGTCAAGCAAACAGTAGGCACCATAAGTAAAGTGCATGAATCACTGTGATTTATAGCATGTGTCATAAAGGTTGTTAAGTATAAAGTGACTGTGTAAATTCTGTGTATTACAAAAAATTGCATCAAGAAAGAATAAACTAGTTTTAATTAATAAAGGACTTGTATCGCTGAAGTTCCTCAGAAAGAATTTATACTGGAAATTAACAAACAAGCAGATATGTAACAATATCATGTGATCGTTAGCATACACTACCTCGATTATCTGCTGTTTCATGATTTTTTGCTTTCCGCATAAATAATTTAGGCACCAGTGTATATTTATTTACTTTCACAGCAATGACTAGTGTATCTCACTGGTTAGCCCACTGTTTAATCTAAATAAAATATTTCAATATATTTAAGTTCCTTTTTAAAATTATAATCTTTTTACTATCATTTAATCACATTATCATGAAAAATGATAAAAAAAGTCATCACAATATCAATCATAAAAGCCAAATGTCTGTCACACTCGATTTCGTAAGTTATACTAGTCCAATTTCACTTCTTCCCCTATAATACTTCCTCTTTTGATTACCCATTCCTGTTTTACTTGAATTTAGTCACTGACATAGGTGTGAATAGCTCCTAAATTTTGGCACTTTTTCTGCTATAGACATAAAAATGCATTCACACCCTACAACGCCTGTGAAAAATAAGTAAAAAATTAGCAGAATTCTATGCTTGGGAATTATTATAAAAAAACATCTATTAATCATAAATGCCAAGTGTCGGTCACACTTGATTTCTCCAAATTTCGTAAGTTACACATTAGACTGTAGGGATGAAGACAATGTGTAATTGGGCAACAGAACATGAATCTTTAAGAAATCTTAATGTGTTTTTGTATACTATATTTTTAATCACTAATCAAATAAAATTAACCAAGCTACAAATATTTTGTATTCCTGTCATAACAGCTAGAAATAAAAGAGGCAAGGCTAGGCTTGAAATAGCCAACTAACGATTTGAATGCACATCAGATCTTGCACATGAAAACCCCAGATATCATGCAACACCTGAACTTTTGCAACCAAAATTAATTTATGAGCAAAAATTTCTCCATAAACATGTAAACTATTGTCTAGAATTGTAATGGTACAATTATGTTGACAAAATCTGTAGAAAAGAAAAACACTACAGATAATTGAGAATCATGGATAACAGAGTTACAAATAATCAAGGCATTAGTTTAGCCCCCATTTCCCGATACAAATAGTAGGGAAGTTAGGTTAGGCACATGTGGTTCCTAGATATAAAATTATTTATCAAGGCCTGATCTAATGTAAAAGAAGACAGTTTCCCAGTACCTGTTTCAACAGTCCAATCGAAAGAAATCCATAGGCACCACTGGATTATCATAATTTGAATTATAAGTATAATTTCAATGGGAATAACCTTAATAGTGTCATGAAAGAAGGATCTTGGTGTATCAGTTGATCAGTCTTCGAGCCATCTAAGCAGTGTGCTGTTACTAGTGGTAGGGCAAAGAGGGTTTTAGGTTTTATCTACAGAAATATTGAATTCAAGTCTAAAGAGGTTATAACTTCATTGTATAGGTCACTGGTTAGGCCACATTTAGAAAATTATGTTCAGTCTTGGGCTCCTTACCTTAGCATAGGGTTTAAAGAAGGGTTAGTAGAATGGTGTCTGGGATGGAGGGGTTGTCATATGAGGAGAGATGAAATCTCATATTGTTTTCTCTTGAAAAAAGAAGAGTTAGGGGGGTATCTAATTGAGGTGTTTAATATTGTAAAGGAAATTGGTAGAGTTGGTGCATCATCTTTTTTCATACTTAACAGTGAGAACAGTAGAGAACTAGGAGACACAAGTATAAAGTTTGGTAGGGTAGGAGTCATCTTCAACTAAGACAGTTTTATTGTTTTAACAGGGTGGTTGGATTTTGGAATAGGTTGCCTTCAGATGTTGTGGAGAAATTAAATTTAAGTAAGTTTAAGAAAAACTTAATAAGTAAAGGAATGATAAGGGGTGGCTTTAATTTTTTAAATTTATTTATTAATAGTTTTAATTTAGTTCAAAGGATGGAATAGCCGAGATGGACCAATAGGTCCCATGTTGTCCCAACACATTATGTTATGTCTGGTGACTTTGCTGGTATGTCTTTATCTAGAATAGCATGAATACCAGTTCTGTTTTCCAGCTGCTTGAGGAATGTGACAGATGAACATGAGGTACAACTAATACACGTAATTGTGTTGCAAACCTCTCTGCATGCACAACAATATCAGGAGAAGGAGGAAAAACTAAGTAATCCCCTTGAGAATGATCAGACAACAAAGCAGGGGTAGACTCAAAAGCAACTGGTTGCATCTCCAAAACTTCACAAAAATGTGTAACTAATTGGACTCCTGACCACCACTAGATAACAAAGGGGAATAGACGAAGGCCGAGTACTCTCCGTGCTTGAAACCATTACAAGGGAATTCATATCCAATTTTTTTTTCTCATAATATATTTGTAGGAAAAAGCAAAAAACAAATTAAATGAAATATATATCTGGATAACAAAACAAAGAATTCCTGATTATTAGAAAGAGAAAACTAAGAAAATGTAAATCACAAAACGTCAGTCTGAATGCTCGTGCTTTGTTGAGAAAAAGTAATTTTATTGTCTGCATACAGTGCTTATATACAGTACCTGCATAGAGAGCAAGTGAGGGCCAGCATAAGGTTTTGCAAATTATATATTGCTGAGGACAGTAGAGTGGGGTATATAAAGACTGGAGCAAGCAAACACAACATTATATGGAAAAGATGAAGATCGAGAAATAGCTATTAGCGTCAGAGGAGGTATGTATGTTTTGGAATACAGTCACATT